CCTCCCCCACAATGTGTCTAGGCTGAGAAAGTATCTCTTTATGTGGGATGGGCTGCCAAAGTCCACTCTTATACTAGCGTTAAATACTGATCCACTACCAGAGGCCCCATAGACTGTCCAGTTCTCCTAACTGGGTCGGTCCTATGCTGGTTTTCCAGCTATGAGACTGAGGTGCACGAGCTCCCCCTTGTTCAGGTCAGCAGTTTCTGTAGGTTTCTCCAGCCTGGTCTTGACCCCTTTGCTCATCACTCCTCCCTCTCTGTAACTGGATTCCAGGAGTTTGGCTAGTGTTTAGTTGTGGGTACCTGTCAGACTTTCATTGTTCTCTGTTTTCCTCACCTGAAAGAGATGGGTCAAAATTCTCACCAATGTAGGAAACATCAGTAAAATGTAAGTGTTTAGGTTTGGATGGGAGTAGCTTGTAGAAATAAGAACACATAGAGTTAATACAGTGGGGAGTTCACAGGTCTTAGGGTCAGTTTTAAAGGCTCATCTTCCTGCTCCATGTACTTGCTATCTCTTCTGACTCTAGATACATAACTTATATTGTGCAACCTTATTTCCTCATCAATAATCAAAGGCAAGGTAGATGTAAGAACTGAATGTGTACCTAACAGACTGCTGACAACTCTCTCAAATCTAATCCATGGTGTCAATATGAATGTCACCAAATCATGAGCTCCTTGGAGATGATGCACTCTAACACCATTCTTGCTAGGAGTTCCTAGCAAATTTGGGGCCATCAGATTTTGAGTACATCTATCTGCATTTGAGCCCTGGTTCTGCCATTAGCGTTTTCATCTTAGCTCCTTGCATCATATTCCCTCACGAGACAGATGCTTTCATGGTGCGATGGTTGTCAGAAATAAACAAGTACAACTTAATCTGCACTGGGCACTCAGTATGTCATCCTATTGCTGTAGCTCTTCAATATTCTATGAACTTAATTCATCATCTGTATCTCCACACTTAAAAATATTAGCTACCTATTGTTAAGTGACCATCATTCTAAACGGTTAGGTGACATGTTACAGGTCACCTAGGAATCACATACAACTAGGAATAGTGAAGTCAGGATCAAACCCCAGGTCTCTTTCGCCTCAGAAGATAGGCGTATGACCCATGTGCTTTCTTGCCTGCCTAGTAATTTAGCAAGACAAAGTGTCTAGCAAATAGTTGGGTACTTCATTAGCATGATTCAGTTAGGTATCCTGATATTTTGCAGCTACCATGTACAACCACACGGATGAGCAAGCAGCAGTTTTACTCTTTCTTTCCTAGCCCTTCCAAATTGGAAAAAAGACACTTCACACTTCATTTCAGGAGGGATGAAAAAGTCATTGCATTATTTGTGTCAAATTCCACTTGTCTTAATGGACTTGTTAAAAGCACCCTGGGTGACAAGTGTGAGTCTTAATGGCATTTTATAAAAGCCATTGTGATGAATTAGCACATGAGGCAAATTAAAAACAGCTTATTGCTTCTTAAATTAGGTGATGAGGCACTGTAGCATTTTTCCCAGATGTGCAGATCCATTAATATCCAAAGGAGACAACAGCTGAAATGTGTCAGCTTCTTGGTTTTAGGAACCCGACAAGCCAGAATCAGTGTGATCCTAGAGAGGCACATTGGCCAAGATAACTGAGTTCCTCAGCCAGGGCTTCTACTGCCTCAGGCAGAAGTAGGGAACTGTCCTTTGGATACTCCTAGGAATGGATGGCACACAGTATGACAAGTATTTGACCTGGTGAGGACTGCTGAGGATAATCTCCACATCCCATATCACATACACAGATAATGAGACATGAGGAAAGGGAATTCTTGTGGTCACCTGGACCATTCTGGGGACATGTATGGAGGATCTGCTTCGATCTTACATTAAATTGGGTCCAGAAGACTGAGAGGGGCAGCTAAGATGCCTTTGCACACAGTATATAGAAGACAAATACTAAGTGGCATGAGTGTGACCCAGACGTGTTCTAGAAGCCATGGCACTCTGAATTATGTTGTTGAGCACTCTCTGGTGTCGAGTTGTTATTGTGATACTTGTCACATTTTGTTTCCATTTAAATCTCACCCCAACTCCTAAGGGTAGTTGGTATTATTTTACAGTTTAAATAAATGTAAGACCCATCAAACTCAGGCAGTCTAACCCTGTCTTGTTGACTCCTGCATGAGGCCTTCTGTCTCTTATCTCCATCCCCCACACTTGAGGCCTAGAGCCAAGCCAGCAAACAGTACTTTTAGGTGAGAACTGCTGGAACAAGAATGAACCAATAAGGGAACTACAGAAACATATAGACAATGGAGTAGTTAGTCTGGAAGGAAAAATTAAGATCATTGATACTGCTAGGTCATGGACAGAGGGCAAGAGGGTGGGAAAATGAGCCACAAAGAGAAAGGGCTGCAAAAGTAGATTTTGAAGTCAGGTAGGTGTCACTATATGTTTGTTCTCCAAAGCATGCACAAATGCGACCTGGGGCAGGTCCCTTAACTTCCTGAGAACCCTTTCCTTGTATATAAGACGGCCAATATTTACTTTTGGGCTCATTACACAGCTCCAAGCTAAGTTGTGGTTTTCTATTGCTACTATTCTTACAACCTCTACCTCCTCCCAGGCTGAATGGGTGACAGGGTAAAGATACCAAGCTGAACCTTGGGTCTGGAGTCCCAAGCTGCCCTAAATTGTTGCTGCTGAGCTGTGATTCCTGGGCCTCCTTATTCTGCAAAACAGAATAGTATTATTTGTCCGACCTTTAAAGGGATGGATAGAGTCACAGATAAGATAGACTATATAAAAATGTGTTGCTATCTATTGAATGTATATTGGAAATCTCAAGACTTGCAAGTTTTATTCATAGAGCCCAGCATAGGACTGATCATAGGGCTGACTTTTTAATAGCAAAAATTAATAAAAACAAAATCAGTAAAAGGAAAAGTCCCTGCAGGAAATTATGTATAAGCTTCCAAGAGCCTTTTCTCTGAGGAGGTACATACGACGTGCCTGTTTCCTCTGGTATCCACTTGTGACAACAGGTGTTAGGTGTTGTCTGTGGGATAAATTGTTGGAGTTTTGGGATGGAGAGTTTGTGCTGGGAGCTGCCTGGAGCATGGCATAACTAAGTGATAGGGTTGGTACAGAACAAACACATGAAATACTGTGTCCAGAGCTAGTGGGAATCTTTCCGAAGTCTATGTTGTAACTATCAGCTAAATGATACCTTTGCTTTTTTTAAAAGGACAATTGATAGAGAGGAATCCTGTTGGAATCTACTGTAAGGGGTAATGAAGTGCATATATACAGTTAGCCAGTGTATACTAGACACTGTAGTACATACTTTAGGCACATTGTTTTATACAGTTTATACACATAACTCAGTAATGCAGCCAGCACTCATTATTCCATTTCATATATGAGCAACTAAAGCCTCTGAAAGATTAAGTACTTGCCTTGGTAACCAGCTATGTGGCTATTAAGGCACAGCAGAAATAGGGCATGGCCTCTGTTTCACCATTATAAATCTGTCTGCTACATAGCTCCTACCACATGCTAGAGGTTGCCTGTGCTGTTTGTATTGTGGGAAGGTAACTATGCACTGAACACATTTGGCTCTGGAATGCTAATTGATTTCTTATTACACAATGAATTGCCATCAGCAGGAGCCATGTCTGTCCTTCCACAACCCTACTTTCCTGGGATGGGCTTTGTGTGAGTCTGATAGGAAAGATGCAGATGGTCAAGGAAGAAATAATTTATACCAGGCACTCAGACCAAAAGACTCTCTCCAAATTACATCACTTAGGGATACTGAAAGTGGCTGTATTGTAAGTAATTCAACTCCTATAATATTTGAGAGTTAAATGCTGTCTTCAGCCCTTTCTGGTTACCATGACAGCAGATGTGACATTTTTTGACAGAAAAGACTTTGGGGAGAAGGAAGGAAAAGAGCCAGGGTTGACCCTAATGATTTTAGAAAATTCTGCTCTCCAAATCTAGCTTGTTTTACATGCACGGTGGTTACAATATAAATAAAGTCTTGGAGCAGAATGAAAGGAACTCAGAGGGAGGTGGTAGAATATTCTCCTGGGAAACCATAGACATTGTGTGTGATGATGGGTTTGAAGATGTGGGGGACATATCAAAAATAGAAAGTATAGTACATGCAATAAATTGTCATATCCTTATGGCTTCTACTGTTCACACTGCTCCTCACTCTGGTGCTGAACCAGTTTTAGAAACTGCAGTGCATTCGGCTCTCACAAGGAATCAGCCATATCACTTCCATGACAACAAAGGATTACAATTCAGAGTGATCAGCACTATCATGAGGCAGGCCTGCATTTCACAGACATAAAGAGCTATGACATTGTTCCAAGGATTTTGCACTGTATACATGTAAACACAGACTTTTTCCCTACTCTTTATATTTTAAGCACCTATTCAGGTCATTACAGTAACCCCCTCAAGCACTCAGGATCAGTGATAATTCAATATTCCTTTGTTGGGGGGAGTCAGTCACTCTGGGTAGACATTTTACATTTTTACCACTTTTCTCTATTATAAAGGAAGGAGTCTATAAGCTGCTACATTGAAGGGAATTTATTATAGCACAAAGATTCTAAGAAAGATAGCCATGGGTTTCTTCATTTATTTTTCATTTGTAAAATTTGGTTCCAATAGGAAGAAAAACTGTCTCAGTTGGGTAATAAACTAAGGGCCTAGGCTCTCGTTATCATGCTTGCTGTCATATGTGATGGTTTCCAAGAAAGAAAAGCAGCAGACTCTACCTACAGGGACCTACTGGATGCCCCTGCAACTCTCAAGGAAGAGCAAGAAGTTACCCCAGTTTATGGCCCAAAAATGAAAACTGTGTAGCACAATCCAGAAGGCCATGAATGAGATGATGGAGTCTCCAGACAAGAGCTGAAATTCTAAAGCATGTGTTTTAAATCAATGCCAATAGTTTCCTAACCATGCCATCTTTTGTTCTTTCTTTCAGAGCCATGTTTGACTATGACAAAAGCAAAGACAGTGGGCTGCCTAGCCAAGGACTTAGTTTTAAATATGGAGACATTCTCCATGTCATCAATGCCTCTGATGATGAGTGGTGGCAAGCCAGAAGGGTCACACTAGATGGGGACAGTGAGGAGATGGGCGTCATTCCCAGCAAGCGGAGGTAAGGATTCTCTCTCTCTCTCCCCCCCCCCTATTCTCCCTCCCTCATGTGTGTGTGCTCACACATGCACATATGCGTGCATGAGCTATCTAAGGAGTGGAAATGCAGGAAGAGGAGGAGGGGGAGACTGCATACAAAATGACTATTTAGGTATGATAGGCATTGGACAGGAAAATTGTCAGTGGTGACAGGTGACAAGAATAAAAGATTTCTCATTCTCTGCATGTTAGGATTTTACCAAAATTGGCAGGTGTGATGACGCACAGCGGGAAAGGGAAAAGCTGCTTTAGTGACTCTCCTAGCAGCTTACTGGGAAGGCTGTGCTTAGGAGCCTGCTCGCCCATTCGTGACCCATGCACTGATTCCCATGGTTCAGCATTTTCCAGGAAATTCTAAAGAAAGGCCAAATTGAAAAGGCAAACTTACTACACTAAGACCCAGATGTTTGAGCTATGAATTGTCCTAGAGCTGGGTGGTTAGACAGTTACCTTTTTCTCTTTTAAACAGTTTTGTTCCCCATCCCAGCATTCCCTTCATTGCTCAGATCTTAGATCTATATATTTCTTGAATGTATCAAACCCTCCATTTCCAAATGCTTCTTCAACTCTGTTTTTGAAAGTCAGAAATATTCCTTACAGTAGCTTACTCCCCATGTGTCCTAGCCACTAACCACCACCAAGATGTCCCATCTCATAAACATCCTGCTGGTACAAGACATGGCCTATGAAACAAACATTGACTCTACCAAATCTAAAGTCAGTCAGCATTCCAGCATAGGTGGGAAAGGGACCATGAGGGGTCCTCACCCCTAGCTGAGGAGCTATTGACAAGTGATGGCTTTGAGGGGAGGGAGAGTTAATTTTCATTCGAGATACCATCCCTGGTAGGTTGACCACTCCAGTGGATGGTCAATATCCACACATATATGGGCAGCGCTAATCGGACTCTGGGTGAGAGGGGCAAGGAGAGAATGAACACACCTGAAGCTGGAAGGAGGAAGAGGAGGACCCAGGAGAAAGGTGGGAGGAATATCCACTCCTCACGCTCTTGCTTCCAATCCTTCACGTACCCCCCCCCCACTTCTCCCTCCCAGTTGTGTGTGCACTCTTTTTAATCCACAGAGTGCACGGAGTATCCAAGCAGTGATTCTTAATACTACTTTGTCTATGGGTGTGTGCATTTTCATGTAAAAAGAAAAGTCAAGACAACATGTGTCCTGGCTTGCTCAAATTCTGTTAACCAGAGCCATCTGAGGATCTGTTCTTGGAAAAGCTGTCATGTTCAGTTGGTCCCAAGGACAGAGGCTGAGTGGAGGGAGAAAATCTGTCAGAAATAGACATTCAGCTCATTTTCAAGAAAACATTCTTCTCATTTCAATTGCCTAAAGATGCTCTGGACTACCCAGGGAGACATGAAAGGGTCTCAACCTCTAGATGGGAGGGCTGAGCCAGGTGCTTTCCAACTGCAGGTTCCTGTGAGTCTAACCATCATGTCAATAGTCATTCAGTCAGTCAAATGTTCATCATTTCCCTCAAGGAATAGCCCTCACAAACAGTTTTCCTCTTGCTGGTGATCATCCTTGAATTGGCTTTTTCATATTTTGAAGGAAGCCATCTTTTTTTTTTTTTTTTTAAACCATCTTAACAGCCAATCTGATAGCTGGCCTGAAGAAATAGAGTAGTTTGTTCAAGTGTTCCTTTATTCATATTTATTTACATCCTTTTGTATATAGATATCCTATTATGCACATGCATTTTTTTATTCATTCTTGTATTTATTTATTTGGTTTTTAAAGACAGGTTTCTCTGTTTCAGCATTTCAGCTCTGGCTGTCCTGGAACTTACTTTGTAGATCAGGCTGGCCTTGAACTCACCAAGATCCACCTGCTTCTGCCTCCCAAATACTGGGATTAAATGGGATTAATGGCTAAGCAGTTGATCTTGACTGCTCTAGCAGAGGATGCAATTTCAGTATTTCTGTCCCCACACCCACCCATTTACTCCGGTTCTAGGATGATCTGTTATCTGTGTGCTCTCTAAGCACCTGTACTGTATATCCCCCAACATGCACATTATTAAAAATAAAATTAAAGTATCTTTTAAAATCTAAGTAAATGTATTCAACTGGTAGATGATTCCAAGTCATTAGCTCCTTTCTCACCTGCTTCCTGAGTTCATGTAGGAGTGTGGGGATAGTTGGCATGGATAGCAGCAGTGCATGGCTTTACCCTTTACAACAATGTCTCTCTTCTCATGGTTCTGTCTAATCATCGAGTGCAAAAAAAAATATGATTGCAATCAGTCTTCCCTCCTTCTAGATAATGAATAAATGCATCCATAAAATATTCGTAGGGCATGTCAGACCTGGTATTAAGCCCTTTGTGGTTTTTAGCATGTTTAAGTCTCATTACAGCTCTTTGGATATTATTCTATTTATTTGTCCTTTATACAAATGAGAGAGATAAAGCACAAAGAAGCTATTAGTCTGCCTGACATCACCCATGTAGAAAGTGGTAGTGCTGAGATCTGAGTTTAGACCATAGCATCTTAACTCATGTGACCTTGCCTTAGAAAGGTACAGCGATAAAAGTTGATAGAATTCAGTTCAGTTAGCCTTGCTTTGAGTATGTCTAAGTGTCAAGCATACAATGACTAAAGCAATGCAGACTCCATTGTAAAGATACCAAGAGAAAAGAAAAGGTAATAGACTAAAGGATGGGTTCCTTTTCATTATAGCTATGACCATATGTTGTAGTCTTTGTTGTTTATATAACTCAAGGATGCCTTAGTTATATGCAGGCTCATTTAGCTCATGCTTCTGGAAGTCTTGACAGCACAAGGTTGAGTGGCCACCTCTGTTGAAGGTTTACTTAGGAGGCCTCTAAAAATCCTAAGATCTTATAGGGTATCCCATAAGAGAAGCACATAAAGTTTGACCCCATTGATTTTTGTAACAAGTCCACTCTCACAATAACCTATTAGTCCAATAGTGTTTTAGTTCATAAATGGATTAAACAATTGTCAGAGCAGAATACTTGTAACACAGTCACCCCTTGACTGTTCACCTGCTCCACTCATTAAGCCACACAAGGTTGATTAAATTTCAACACAAGTGATGGAAAGAACATTAACTAATAGCACTATGCATCATGCCAGATGCTTTCAAACATATGATTTCAGTTTAATTTTCATAGAAGCCTCAAAGAGCAACTGGACGTCTGAGAAACAAAATAATTTATCAGTTAATGCACCCAAGTCTAAGATTAAATAGCAAGATTAAATGGCTTTCCACTGTATTAAGAGCACTGCTGTAAGGTACTTTTAAGTTGTAGAAATGGAATTCAAAGAACCCAAGAATCCTGGCAGAATCACACTAGTAGCAAGAAGCTAAGCCAGGATTCAGACATGCACCTTTCATATACCTCCATGAACAACTGTAAAGGTTTAGGGTCTCCTCAGCCCTACAGCACTTCAAGCTTAGGCCACTTACTATTTATTTTTCTCATTCCCCCTAGCAGAGTACCTGACATGTACAATGTGCAGGAAGAGAGGTTGATCTTGGCTCACAGTTTAGCTGGCTGTGTGTGTGTGTGTGTGTGTGTGTGTGTGTGTGTGTCCACAACAGTGGTGAAAGCATGGCAGCAGGGCTCCATGGTAATGGGAATATGAGGCAACTGCTGACATTTCAGTAGAATCAGGAAGCAGAGACACAACTCTGCCTAAGACCAGATCTACACTGTAAGCCCTGAGCCCTGCCCATGCAGCCCTTCATCTGGAGCTAGGTCACATGTGAGTCTAGGTGAAGGACATTTCACATTCAAACAAACTATTACAGGCCTGCACTGAGGAATGCCCTCAGAGAGAAGTCCATGCTTCTGGCTCACCTAGCAGGGTTGACAGTGGTAGTAAAGCACTTAAGGCATATGTTGCCTCCCTTTTACAAGGTGAGGAAATAGAGACTGCTGGTGCATTTGGCTTTAGTGACACTTCCCATAATATCTTCATAGCCTTACATACTGAGCTCTAAGTGCATCAGACTCTGCTAAACATTCGCCGTACATGATCTTTTTACTATTCATAATTGGCCAACATGAAAAGCCACACTAAAATGCTGAATTCCTGTTCCAAGTCAAGGATTCAGGAAGCAGAGGCAAAGGAGAACTCAAGCTAAAGTGTGACTTCAAAATCTGGGCTCTTAGCATAGTCTCTGTTTGCTCATGTCACATAGGTTAGAGTGGCCAAACCAGGAGCTGGCCCACACTCTATGAATCCAAATGACCATTTACTGATTATCAATACAGCCCGTATCTAACACTAATTAAAAACGTACTCAACCTGTACATCACAGCATCTACTCATGTGAATGGCATTTCAATTTCCTCTCAACTAGGGCCCCAGGAACAGATCATGTTTCCCCTGTCCAATGCTCCAACCAGGTATGCTTGGCTGGAACCTGGAAATGCCAAATGGGAGTTGGAATTGGAGAAAGGGCAAAGGGCTTGTTGAAATGCAGACATCTGGTGCTCTCTGGAGATGCTAGGCATTAGAATGGATTGCATAAGCTTTGCCATCCAGCTCATGTTACTGATACTTTGATTAGTTATGAGTATGGATGAGGAAGATTGTGTCTACTTGATCAATCCATATTTATTGGAGGGGTAAAAGTGTAAGAGGGAACTAGTGATTTTACTGCTGTTGGTCCACCATTTCCTTAAGCAAAGGCCTTGAGCCTTAATATTTATCATTTTGCCAAAGGAGTACCATAACTAGAGATGGTAATGCTAGTCTTTAAACTAGATTATTTTATAAAGTTTCTTATTTATTTTTTGTGGGTATGGGTGTGCCTGTTGCCCACAGAGGCCTCTGGGACTGGAGTTATGGACATTTATGAGATGCTCTGTGGCTAGGGGTCCCCTGGGAGAGCAGCTGGTACTCCTAACTACTGAGCCATCTCTCCAGCCCCTAACTAGACTACTGCTGATAGAAAAGGTGATGAAATGATGAGTTTTTCATAGGAAGCACTACAAGCCACTTCAGTTCTTCAGCCCGCCAGAGACTCCATTCGTTCATTCACTGAACAAAGATTCACATCTTTTGTTGATTCACATGGAGCTATGTGCCCAGCTCCATGTTAAGCCATGAATCATAGTATAAGTTATAGATAAAATAGGTACAGTGCTGAGCACAACTTTCAATACTTGGTATACATGCAAATGAAGACCATTTTCCAGTTGTCAGATCTTGAGCATTTTGTGCCTAAAGAAAATGAACACTGCAATGGTGAAAGCCCCAGCTCTCGACCTTAGCTCTTTTTCAGGGGGTAAGCAAGTCACTGTATCCCAGGAAGAACTCAGAGGATACAGAGGGCTGAGGCAAGAAAGATAATGTAATCAGCAGCCATTTTCAGTGAGGACGGGGGGGGGGGGGGACAGCAGAGAGTCAGTGGAAGCAATTCTTCGTGATGGTTAGGTGCAGTTCCTGGTATGCTGAAGAGAATCCAGTTCACTGTGTGCCATGCAATGCTAGCAAAAGAGCATTTAGTTAAACTGATATCAGTGTCTAAAGCTAATTTGTTCTGAATTTTGATGCCAGCCTGCTGTGGTATGTTGCTCCTTCCCTAGTTATACGCTTAAGTGTTATTGTGTACAATTCATAGAATTCAGACTATTTGGACAAGGGAAATGGGAGAAGTGGGATATAGCATTTGTGGAGACATTCAGCCTAAGTCTCTAACGGCTACCTATTGGCTTTTCAACCATGCATCATGCATCTTCACGTTTGTTCAATTTCCAATGAGTGAAGTAGGCAAGATAGGTCTTTGAGTCTGTTTCCCCAAAAGCAAGTCTATGGGCAGACACTGATGTCAGTTGTTAGCAGGAGCAAATTCAAACTGTTCCCATGAATCAAGCCTCAGCTTTGACAGCCACAAAATGGGGTTGACAAGACCTGTGTTGCTGGGTTATCAATGGGACAAGCAAGATATCACAAATAAGAAAGGGAACCATTAGTAGTTGAATATTAAAATGTCAGTTGTCATTTATATTTCCATCACTCACAATACTTCCCACACAAATAAAAAACCAAGGTGTTCCAATCTCCTTCCCAAGAGAACATAAGCAATGTCTCCTTAATACACTAGCATTTTCTTCTTTTTCTTTGACCTGTGTTAAGGGTTTCTGTTTGTTTGTTTGTTTGTTTGTTTTGTGCTGTTCTATTTTTAATGAGAGACAGAAAGAATGTAGATTTGGATGAGTGGTGAAGTGGGGAGGATCTGGGAGGACATGAGAGAAGGGAACCATAATCAGTATATATTTTCTGAAAAATCTATTTCCAATTTTAAAATATTAACAAACCATAGTAATTGATATGTACGTGTGTGTGCAGTTATATATGTCTGACTATATTCTTTGTATATTCTTTAAACAAAGATTTAAGTGATGACCCCACTGAAGCTGGCCTAATCAGGTCACTTAATAATAGTGAAAGGATGGCCTCAGAAATCTGTTAGGAAATGTGGACTGTTCTGCCCAAATAATTCTTAGGTCAGAATACTGCACTTACCTTGTGTCTTATATGCTTGTGGCTTCCATGAGTTCAGAATTTATTTGCATTCTCTAATCAAATAACCGTGTATTTGCCACATCCTGCAGTCATTTTGACAGTGGGATGAATCAGTGGTTCCCATTATTAGCCAAATTAATGCAAATGAGCCAGAATAAAATTAAAGGCTCTAACAACAGTTTTTAGGAAAATCTGAAGAGGTGAATAAGAATTACCATTTGAACATAAACTCAAAGGGGAGACAGAGCTCTAAGCAGACCTCTTCATGAATTTCTTCTACTTGGCAGTTTGTCCCAGCCTCTTGCTCTCCTCCCAACTTTTATGCAAGGATGTATTCAAGGAGAGATTATCAACACAGGTTTCTCTCCATGGAATATATTGCTTTAATATCTGATGTTAGATGTGAAAGGTTTGGTTCAGCTTTTCCACTCAAATATTCTACACTGCCACTGAAATAAATGTATTCTGAAACTTCCTTCTGTAACTATAGAAACCCAGACCCTCAGTGTTTCTGCTAGAAACACAAAAGAGCTCTCAGTTAGGAAGTAGCCTGCTTTAATTACAGAACTATGAATAGCTTAGCCTTCATAAACCATTAAGTTTCTATAGAATCATGATTATTTTTCTCTCGCTTGCTCTTTTCTTTCCCCTGAAAGAAAAAAAAATTTAAAGCTAGCCAAATTTAAACAAAGTGATGTTACAGCAGCCTACCAAATAGTGTTTTTGTACAATGGTATCTACTGAAGACCTGCTACTTGGACCAGAGAACTATACAACCTTTTGTACTCAATATAAAATGTTTTACATTTTCTTCTTAAAGAATAAAATCAAGATACAATGTACATCTCGATAAAATTCAGTGCTGTTATGGCAGGATATAAAAACAATGTTTTACTGTAGAGACTTAGAAAAGTCAAGGAGATACATAGGTTCCTCTTAACTGTAGCTTCAAACAGGAACAAATCAAATACCAGCATTCCTTAAGCCCTTTCTCTCAACTCCAAATTATTGTTTCCTATCCTTTATTCATATTGCCTTGGTTATGGCAACAGCTTCTGAACATACCCCAATCACCTCTTTCTTCTTCCCTTTCAGAATTCTTTCCCATTGCACCATTGCCCTTTTCCTAAGGTATTAGTTTGAAGGGCTAGAGAGGAAAGTCAATAGCTAAGGGTGTTTGCTGCTTTTGCAAAGCACCAGCCTTCAGGGCTCAGTATCCATAGCTGGCAGCTCACACATGTCTGGAATTCCAACTCCAGGAGACCCAATAAGCTCTTCTAGCTTCTACAAGTCCTGCATACACATAAGCATAACTAAATGCACATATATACATATACACATAAATATAAATAAGTCTTTAAAACTGTAGTTTGATTATACCACCTTGTTACTACTACCCAAGTCCTTGAATGCTCAGTGGGAGAGAGCAAAGTTCATGTTCACTCATGTGTATGTGGACGCTTGGATGTGTATGGATACATGTGTACAGAAACCCATGGGTGTCATTTCTTATGCCTCTTCCCTTTAAAAGACAAAGACTCTTTGACCTAAAATTCACAAAGCAGGCTGAACTAGCCAGCATGCCCTAGAATCCAATGATCTCTCTTTTAGAATTATAAACTCATGACCCCTCCATGCCTGGCTTTTTACATGGCTTCAAATTTAGGTTCTTACCATAAGTAAGGACTTTACCTGAGCTATCTCCCCAGCCATCTTTTTTAAAAGACATTTTGTGATTTTATATAGGCCAGTCAGGCTAGCCTTGAGCTCATATATCCGATATTGACCTTGAATTCATTGTCCTGTTGTCTCTGCTTTCTAAGTGGTAGGTTTCAGGCGTGTGCCAGCACACCTGGCCCCCAACATCCTATGGAACTCTACAACTTCACCCAACCTCACCTCATCCTATATGGACCCCATGGCACAGTCCTCAGGTTCCTAGCTTGTTAGGAACTGTAATGCATGCTAACCTTTTTCTACTGACAAGCTCTTTCTCATCCTTCTAGTTTCATATTATAGTTTCATATTAATGGGCATTTCCTTCCATGAACAACAGCAACAATTGCCACCCCTTTCTTTTCCCCCCAGTGGCACTGTTAGAAGTGCTTGTCCAGCTTTGTTCTTGCTAAGAACGTATCATGATAAATGCCCATTACAATCATGCTTTAAATGCTTCCTTTATTTTATTCCTATAACCTTGGTTAATAACATAGCAAGTGCTCATTTAGCGACAGGTAAGACAATGGATGCTGCAGAAATGACAGAAGGACGTTAGACTCCTTGAAGGAAAATTCTAGAGTACATGTAACATTGGTTGTCAGGTGAAGCTACTGTGTAATACTACTCTTTAATAGGAGAGTAGGGGGGAAGTAGGGGAGGGGCTTGTTTGTTTCCACTCTAGGTATTAGTTTCCTGGGCTGTGATTTCCTGAAATAGATTCTGGTTGATTCATACTCATCTCAATAATTTTTATCTGTTACTTCCAAATATTAGGACTGTCAGTACATGTAAGATAAAAATTTCCAGGAATATATTAGAAGTTTAAACAATTTTTACCAAGGTGTTTTTATCCTTTCCAAAGGAAATAAAACACTCTAGACCGTGTTTTATTTGAGTTTTAGGGATGAGAGGAAGAAGTGTTCTTTATTTAATAAGGAATTAATCATAAATGCCTTGCCACTCACCTATTTGTTTGTTTGTTTTTGTTTTTTTTCATTAGGGTGGAAAGAAAGGAGCGTGCCCGATTGAAGACAGTGAAGTTCAATGCAAAACCTGGTGTGATTGACTCAAAAGGGGTAGGTACAAATTGATGGAAACATTAAGTTCTCTCAGTTACTGTAGATGTAGTGATAATTAACATTCGAGCTTTTAATAGCAAAGAAATAATAGCACCACTAGTCAAAAGAACACTGTCACAAATGTACTGCTAAAAGTAATGTCATTACTGATAAAGTGGATATATATATATATATATATATATATATATATATATATATATATATAAAACTATTGGTGACAAAGCTAGTGATAACAAAAGTGAAATGTTTACTATACTGAAGATGATAAAATATAGTTACGGGTTTTCTTTAAATGTTCTAAAGGGTCACATTTCATAGATGGTGTCTGATCAACTGAAAGTGTATCTAGTTTGACACACATTATACACTTAAGTCTATAGTCATAGAAATACAGATATGAATCAGTTAAGTGAATAATATGCAGATTGTTGTGACAGACATATGAATTAACAACAGCAAAATCCTATCAAAATTAACACTCATGTATACATCTCCTCTTAGTCATGGATTTAATAGCATATAATTCAACTATCATATAACTTTCCCACTTAAATTTAGAGTTGGGTAGCTGTTGCCACAATCAGTTCAGTAAATTCCATTACTCCATAAAGAAATCTCTTAGGGGTTAGCAGTCATTTCCCATTCCTCAGCCTCTGTGCCCCACTGGACCACAGTCAAGAACCTCCTTTGTGTCTTTATAGATATGCCTGTAAATACTTCATATAAAAAGAATTTCCTCTTTTGTGGCTGCTAATTCCACACTGTATTATTTAAGTTGCATTTACACTGTTGCATGAATAAATACTTCATTTCTTTTATTGTCATATAAAATTATATTGTATGAACATACCACATTAGCATATCTGTCCATCAGATGACAGACATTTGTGGTATTTCCCATGCATACTACCATGAACATTTGTATTAAGATTTTGATGTATATATATTTTTACTATCATTGATTGTACAGTGCAGCAAAATTGCACATTTTAGGAACTGCCAAGTGGTTTTATACAGTGGCTACAACATTTCACGTTTCTAGCAACAGTGTATATGTGTCACAAGTTCTTCATGTACAAAACAATACTTATTATCTTGTGCCTTTTAAAATTATAGTTATCTTGGTTGGCATGAACCTGTGTGTTATTGCGATTTTGGTTTTGATTTTCCTAATCAGTGGAGCTGTGAAGCTTCTTTTTATGCACTTATTGGTATATCTTTTCTAGGAACTGTCTCCTCAGATTTAGTATATTTTTAAATTGGCATTTCCTGCTGTTATTGTTACTGGGTTATAGAGTCTCTAAATATATATACTCTGGGCATTGTTGTAGGACCTTTTACCTTCACTTATTCGTGTGGGAGGGGACACATGCGGGTGGGCAGTTGTGACTAGTTAATATTAGGAATCTTCTTCCATTGTTTTTACCTTTGAAGCAGTATCTTTCAATCAAACCTGTAACTCCCCAATCCCAGTAGTCTTGATGGCCACCTTGATCCAGAGATCCCATCTCCTTCTCCAGAGGCTGGAATTACAGTCAAACAACTCTACCCAGCCAGCATTTACAGGGGTTCTGAAAATCTGAGCACTGATCTTGTTGTTTTGGTGGCAATCACTTTAACCACTGACCTGTCTCCCTTCCCCTGTACTCTGTCTTTAAATAATTTTTCAGATAAAGGTTTCCCTACTCTTTTTTCTCTTCAGTTTTTTGTTTTCTTCCTATTCTCTTGAGAGTGTTCTTTGAGATAACAAAGGTTTTTATTGATTAATTATATTATTTTTCCTTTGAAGGTTTATGTCATATTTTCTTGTGAGAAGGTTACAGTTGCAACTCTCATTCATGTTAAGGTGTTAACCAACTTTGAGTCAGTTTTCTTCACCGAGAGTCACTAGGTTCCAATTGTGTTTCTTTACATGTAATTTATTTGCTTAATTTCATTTAAGATTATTCATGGCAAAAGAGTAGAACTGTATTTATCATTTCCTGTAGATCTTATATCCTATAACCTCTATAAATTCATGTCTTAATTTTGATAGTTTTAGTGGTTTTCTCAAAATTTCTTATATAGAAGATATACCATGTGCAAAAAGAGGTTTTCTTTTTTTACACCCCCTTTAATGTGGATGACTTTTATTTCCCTTTCTTACTTAATTCCCATGTCCAGAATCTCTAACACAATGATACACATATCAAAGGAGAAGAGGGTCAAAGGCAGCTCTTTTCATCTTACTCTTGATCTCAGAGAAAGGAGTTTAGTTTTCTTACCACTCAGTATAACATTGGCTGTAACTCTACTGCCTTAAAAATACTGTTCTCAGAGAGCCTGTACTACTGCTTTATGCTGTACTACAAAATAATACCTTTTACCTTTTCACATCCCATTCCTTTTCTCTTCATGTTCTTTATTTACTTTTCTTCCCTAACAATTGTGGCTTGTGAGTGAATGGGGAAAAAATTAAAACAAAACACAACAAGTTACAGTCAATAGGTGTCAATATGAAAATAGGTAGATCATTTGCCAAGGCTCTTGTCAACCAAACCACAATGTTATCCTTTGTTTAGTAAGTAGAAGTATCATTGAGATGCCCAGTCAGTGACACAGTATTTTAATTTGCACCAAAGTATTTAAGTAAAATAGAAATTCATCTGTACATTGGTGTCATTTTTTAAAATGAGGGTCTATGACATTGTAGTATAGAGTCCATTAAAAAACATACATCAATAAAACTGACAGAAAACTTTTAATGATTTCCTTATTTTTTTTTTCCTGTACATGCATCGGTGTTTTGCCCAGAAGTATGTTTGTGTGAGAGTGTTGGATCCCCTGGTACTGAATCTTCAGACTATAGTGAGCCACCATGTGGGTACTGGGAATTGAACCCAGATCCTCTGGAAGAATAGCAAGTGCTCTCAATAGATGAGTCGTCTTTCCAGTCCCTCAAGGCAATAGAAAATTTTATTGATTCCTCACATGAATTAAATAATTAGATTCCATGCCTTCAGATAATACATACCAGACAATTTGAATTGAATACCTACCTGTGTCAGATACAGACTGTGGACTAATGTAACACACAAAGTATTCTTCCTAGAAGTTACATCAGTGACAGGCCAGAACACGTGGGATGTCTCAATAGCTGTCCTATTGTTGTGAAGAGACACTATGACCAATGCAACTCTTATAAAAGAAAGCTTATACTTTCACAAGGTCAGTCCATTATCATTATGGTAGAAAACAGACAAGAATGGTGCTATTCTAGAGTAGCAAGGACACACCTACTACTCTAAGAAGGAACGCCTCTTGTCCCTTCCAAACAGCATGCAAATAATGTGAGCCTATGGGGTTATCATCATTCAAGCCACCACACCCTTTTAACTGTATTTGTTAAACACCATTAGCTGGTAAATAAAATGTAAACTCTAGGACTCAGTGAGCTATTGAAGGAGAAGAACAAGAAGGAAATATCAGGGGAGCAATGTCCTATGTTCTGGTTCTAGTTTGCTGAGTCACCAGTGTCTTGAACCTTATAATCAAAAAGAATTCTGTCAGGGATGGCAAGTTCCATCTTGATTATAGACAGGTATTGGCAAATCTTCTCTGCAGTTTCATGTTGAGAAGGATTCCAAAGGCACATATAAGCTCAACAGAATAAAAACTACTACCAATTAGTCATCTCAGGTTCAACCTTGGGAATGGTTCTCTAGTGATTCAGTGATTTTTAAGGTAGATTTAAATATATGAATTCAGTGGTAATAAAGTAACTTTCATCAATAATTCTCCATGAGCTTTGCTCAGGAATTTATTAATAATAAAAACCATTTTTCTCAAATCTCCATGAGAACAATAAATAAATGGGGAGACTTCTTGTCCAAACACAGGGAGCAGAGGGAAAATAAGAGGAGGGAGAGGGCATGGGAGAGAGGAGGAAGTTTCCAGTTATTGGTGAATACAGAAAGTTGAGACAGAAAATGTCACTTACTTTGAGCTATAGACAGGGACTACAGAAATAAGCCAATGTAACAGGGTCCTCAATGGGAAGTCGGGATAAATTCACCATTACACTGAAGAGGAAAATATTTGGAATGAGAAAAGAGCAATGTTGTGAATACCTCTATCCTAACAGACATTTACAGAGCACCAAAGTGAACTGTGAACATCACAGTTACTACAGTAGGAGAACCTTAAAATCAATCAGTATCAATGGGGCAGCCTATGAAGAGCCTGATTGTATGTATAAGCTTCAAATCTTCAAACTAATGGGCCTAGAAGTAAGCAGAGAACACCCCATAAAAGAATGTAAACTGTTGGTACTCAAGTCACTTTTCTAGAACTGGCTATTGTTTAAAGTAACACTGAGTACTACAAAGCACAAGGTATGGTTTAGGGCACCTTGTGAAGCAACCAACAAATTAAAAGGGCAAGATCTCTTGGTGAGTGCACAAAGACAATTAGAGTCAAGAAAATAACAGTACGGCATCACAGGAATCATCCATGACTTTGGCAAATTGTAGTTTTTATCTTTAAAAATCAGTAGATTCAGCCTCCACAAGACTACCTAATTTGTTTAAGATAGCACAATCAGTAGGGTGGTTGCAAGAGTCAGGTTTAAATTCAGGTAATTTTAACAACCTGTCTTTTCCATTGCTGTTATTAGTTTCTAGATAAGTATCTTAATTAACTAATTTTCCTGTTGCTGTGATGAAGTGCCCAGACAAAAACAACTTAAGCAAGGAAAGACTTATTTGGAGTCAGTTACAGCAGTGGTCTATGATGGCTGGAGCTTGAGGTCACATTAAACCTGCTAGTGCTCAGCTAACTCTCCGCTTTTCCTCCACTTCAGGATCCCAGCCCATGGAAAGGGGACATACTTTGTAATCAGGTTCCCCATCTCAACTAACTTAATTTAGATAATCCCTCACAGGCATGCCCAAAGGCTACTCTAATACAAATAATCCTTCACAAGTGTGCAGAGGATTGACTCCTAAGTGAATTTAGAC